CACTCTCTCTCTCACACAAGCACACACTCACACTCACACACACACACACACACACACACTTCCTAATCCCCATTGTCTTACTGCAAATGCATATTCCTGTTTTTTATTATTATATAAATATTGCCTTTATTAAATAGTATTTACTCACTCACTCTCTTCCCCTTGTGCAACAAAAAAACGTACACAAAAATACTGCAACATATGCACGATGTTATGAACTCTCCATTTTTGTGTAAGTTTTTTTGTTGCAACTTTAATTATTGGAAATGTCTTAGTCAAATAAACACTGTAAACAAATATTATTACAAGAAAATACTATTTTGGTGTGTTACTTTCTGTTTCTTTGTAGTTATTGGGAAATTTACTAGTAATTTCTGAGCAATTTTCCTCCACCGGTTTTTTCAGCTACACACACTACCATTATTGAAATCTTCTGCTCACCACGGCTGCATTTATTTGATCAGTAAAAACAGTGAACAATTATTATAATTCAAACAGCTGTTTTCTCTGTGAATCTCTGTTAAACTGTAATGTATTTCTGTGATGAGCAGCTGTATTTTCAGCATCATTCCTCCAGTCTTCAGTGTCACATGATCTTCAGAAATCAGTGTAATATGCTGATTATTTTTTTTGTTGTTGACCAAAACATAGACATTCAAGCCATGTCAGTGTGGGGTATTTCTATTCTTTAAATTGTAATAACGCACCTGTCTGTGAGTGCCCAGGTCAGCGCTTCTAAAAACGAAGACTATATCATCCCATTAAACAGATTCATTGGAATAATTGGAGTAATTGCCTCACATCTGTTTGTGCGCAGCAAGCTGCTGATGAGGCCATAGAGTGGCCCATCTACAAACTCCCCCTGCCACCCGCCGCAGCTGAGGCCCGCATTACCAGACCCCATCAGGATCAGTACCCACGGCACTATTTGCTTTATTCAGGATACCTCAGAGAGTCCCGGTCAAATGCTGCCTCAATTAGAGGAGACCTATCCGCCGGCTCCTGTGGGCTCCCGTGGGCTCCTGTGATTGGTCGACACAGAGCAATGTGCCAAACAATGAAGCCTCTACAAAGCTTACAGACAATACTGCTTAGATTGATCTTCATGTTCTGTGAACATTTTACAAACAAAGACTTACCTGTTCTGAATCAGGCCTGGTTCTGTGTTGGATTCTGAAAAACATTATATTTTAAGTTTTTAAGATCGTCTCAATTAAGTTAACGCAAATAAGAATCTACTGCACTGCGGGTCAGTGACAGATATACACTAGTGTGCAACATTCAAGAGAAGGAAACATTTAATAAAACATTCTCAGAAATATATCCCTTTGTATTCATTTTTATTTTCTGGTTTAAAAAAACAACAACCGTTACATAATTTATGTGCAATAAAATATAATTTGCTTACACGTTGAGTCAGTATCATTATTTTCAGAAATGTTTTAAAGGTAAAAGATTTGTTTTCAAAGTGTAAACATATAAAATATAAAAGTCACACCTGTCATAAAGGCCAAATTATAGTTTATAATTATATTATATTTCTTACTAACCTTGACGCATCATTTCCGGTGGACAACATATTTAATATGCAGTGAAGCAGTTTTTGCAGTATTTTTATGTTTTCTAAGAAAATAAGTATAAGGTTTCTTTAAAATAATTTCATGCTTTCAAGAGCCTTTTTTGATGATTATGTTGTATCACCCTGACATTTTTCACTTTATGCCCCCCCCCTCCCCAAAAAAATCAAAATGATTTTATTCAGAAATCAGAAACATGTTCATCATAAATTGCATTTTAAAATTGTATTATTTTATTATAATATGAGACAATGAAATATGATTACACATTAAATAATGAATTATTTAATATTTTTGAATAGATAATAAAATAAGCGTCATGTCATGTTATTGAACACATGCCTCTGTCTCCAGTAATGTTCACTAGTCGGTGGACATCAGAAACCCTTGCATTAGCTGGAGGACACACTCTCAGCGGCACACGCAAGCACCCAGCGGTCACAGCGCTTGAAGCGAGTGAATAATTAATGGTGGGATCTAAGAGACTTGCTGGGCACAAGCAAGCAGGGAAGTCTTTAGACTAAGTGCTTTCTCAGATGAAGTCACTGATAATGCAGGCAGGTCTGGGGACACTAGAGGATCATACGGCTGTCCTCAGTGAGCTATCTGAGCAGCACGTCTCGGTCATCATATGCATAATCTGGGTCTGAGCCATTACTGTGAGCCTCATACCTTTATCTGCTGTGTCCTTGATTGAGGTGGTTGAGGTAGCTTTTTAAAAAGAGGCATATCATGTACTTATTATTAACTTTTCCCCTTGAGCTCCACTTAGTTATACAACTATAAACATATAATATATATATTTATGCCATTTTTAATTTACGAGTGGTCAATGTACATTTATTTATTTGGATTGCTCAGTAGTTCACCCATAATTAAAACATTTGCCGAAAAGTGTTTGTTTGTGTCTTCGTCAGGTTTGTAGAAATGTAGCATTGCATCAGTGTCTCAGCAAGTGAATGGGTGCCGTCAGAATGAGAGTCCAAACAGCTGATAAAAACATCACAATAATCCACAGCACTCCAGTCCATCAGTTAACATCTGGAGAAGACAAAAGCTGAAACTAATCCAGCATTAAGACGCTTTTAACTCAAATACATTGAGTCCATAATCCATAATAACTCTTCCTCCAGTGAGTCAGTGTTCTGGTGTGAATCAGGAGAGAAATCTGCACAGATCAAGCAGCGTTTACAAGCCAAAACTACAGAAGAGGATTAGGGCCAAGCAATGATAAAAAAAAGGATTAAAGTCATTATAATGTGAGATTAAACTTGTTAAATTTCTAGAAGAATGTCTAAATAAAATGTTGAGAACAAACTCATTACATTTCGAGAAAAAAGCCGAAATTAAATTCTACTTTTCAACATTGAAATCAACATTTAATTTCAAAATTTTTCTCGAAATGTACTGAGTTTAATCTTGCATTATAATGACTTCATTCTCGAGATGATTTTATTTTTTTTTATTATTGCTTGGCCCTAATCCTCTTCTGTACTCGCACTAAATGTGAGAGACAACAGGAGACGCACTTTTTCACGGGAGGAAGCGATATTATGGATTATAGACTCTTAGTTTAGCAACTGTTTAAAGTTAAACACCTTCACGATGGATGAGTACATTTTCATTTATGGGTGAACTGTTCCTCTAAGAAACACCCCACAGGAAGCTGATGATGTGAAAATTACAATTCAGAAAACTCGAACAGGTAATGCATTGTGTTTGTTAAATATAAAGAAGTCTAGATAAACGAAATACACAATTCTACAGATGACAATTCAAACAGATTTGGCCTATAAACCTGAAAATGCTTTAATTTTCTTCAAACCATCGCTCAAAGTTTGTCTTGACAACATTTCCATTACAGTTAAAGATGACACTTATTACAGTTAGATCATTTTCTTTGAATTTCACTTCGTTTTACTTTCTTAAATTTGATTCGCAATTCTGAATCCTGTTTTCTTGCTGTTCAGAACTGACTAAAACCATTCGTTTATCAAATTCGTTCTTCTGGTGCTTCAGAGCAATACTGCTTATTAGTTTGAATTTTTACATTTTACTTTAACTTATTAAACAAAATGTAAAAAAGTTTTTTATATTTAATTTTATATATTATATCATTTTATATTTTTTGTAGTTTTTTTATATTTAATTTTATTCAATGAATTATTTTTATTAATTACTTTTGTTTTTAATTTCAGTTTTATTTAAATAATAACCCTGATACTTAGATGTCTGAAGGGACTATTTCGAATTTAATTGTCATTCGTTTAATTAAAAATTTATTCAGCTAGAAAAAACGTAAACATACTAAATATACAGCTGTGAAACACACTCTAACATGCGTTACATTGCTCTGCGCACAGATGCGCTGTTATGTCATAATTAAAGATATTTCTCATGGGAATTATTGCATGTTTCTATTAATAAACATAAGTAAACATATCCCGTAAAGCCAGATCAATTGACTGTAAGTGTATTGTTGTCCAACTGTACAGGTTATCTAGTGAGAAAATCTGCCGGTGTTGGAGAAGTAATCAAATTCTCTTCTTCTGGTCTTTTAGGAGCATGATGCCTAAAGCCCTCAATGGGCAAATGGTGATGGAGAAGACACCCAGATACTTCGTCACCCCAGAGACCCCAGGCCGCATCCATGCCATGTCTCGCGACATCAAGCTGATGGTGGTGGTGCGAGACCCCGTCACCCGCGCCGTGTCCGACTACACCCAGATCACCTCCAAGACGCCCGGCATCCCCAGCTTCGAGAGCCTGGCATTCAAGAACCGATCCACGGGACACATAGACTCCCTCTGGAGCCCGCTGTACATCGGGCTGTACGCCAGACACCTGCAGCGCTGGCTGGCCTACTTTCCGCTCTCGCAGATGCACTTCGTCCACGGAGAGAGGCTGATAAGTGACCCGGCGGGCGAGTTGGGCCGCGTGCAGGACTTCCTCGGCCTGCAGAGGATCATCACCGATAAACACTTCTACTTCAACAAGACCAAGGGCTTCCCTTGCCTCAAAAAGCCAGAAGGCGGTAGCAAACCCCACTGTCTGGGCAAAACCAAAGGCAGAACGCATCCCAGAATCGACCCGGAGGTCATTCAGAAACTGAGGGAATTCTACCTGCCTCACAACCTCAAGTTCTACCAAATGGCAGGCATGGACTTTGGATGGCAGTGAACTTCTCTAATGGCTCTATACTGCGTGAGCTGGTCTGAATGGGGTCGAAGTCTCGAGAAACCCTATCTAAGGACGGTCGATGGCCCCGTAGCAGTTCAAATCAATGCGTCTGCAGATAGATAGAGGGTCACAGCAGTCTTCTCATACCATCGGTGTGGCTCCGTCTGAGGGAACTGATAGCAATGACCTTAAATCTTTGGTTTAAGTAGCACTTTTCTGCTCTTGCAGTTTTGATGTCTTTCTATTATGCTGCTCGGTCAAGCATCGTTCATATCGAAAAGAGTCTGAAATAAACTGTGTAGCATAGGCATATTGGTCATTGCTGCAGTATTTACACTGAACAGAAAGAAGCATTCATCTACAATCACGTTACACATCCAGTGGCTCAAACTGGTTTTGATTGTGAGCTGTAACTGGTTCAGATGTAGATGCTACTTCCCTCTGCATGCATGCATCTGCACTAGTCTGAAATGCAGCCCACTAAAGCCAATCAGTTATTTTAAGTTCCTGTGTAGGTGTTTGTACCCAAAAATGGATGGATATTAATATAAACGTGAATGCAATAATAATATATTTCTTTAATTTGTTTATGTTTCACATGTTTATGCTCACACGAGCCACTTTGTCCAATGACATTTGAGGTTGTTGTACCACATGACCTTTGGATAGTTTATTCATGGCAAACAGTCATTGATTATTAATGATGTACTATTTAAATAATATATGTAATATATAATGTGTGGATTTAAAGCAGTGCATTAGAGATCGTATTAGAAAAACAGTCTGCAGCGCCACCATCTGGCCGAAACAAGCAGAACATCGACAGAAGAAAATCTCCTCATTTCAGGTTATGAAGGTTCTTAATTATTATAATGCATTGTTTGATCATTATTATTCGATGCCTGTCTGCTTTTGTGAAATATTTTTTATTTAACATACATTTCATCAACATAAAGTCAAAGAAATGAAGAATACAGCAATTCGCTCACTTATGAGAACACAAAATATCAAATTAAACATGAACGAGCTGACATGCATTTAACACCATTAGTCTAGAAGGAGTGCTGCTTGTACTAACAGCTTGTACTGTAAAAAAGCATTTGCATCTTCTATATGTTTCACATAAAATATAAACAGTTCATTTAGGCAGATCAAAGACTCATAGACAGATTAATGGATAAATCAGTGTTATCTATTCTTATGATTGAAATGAGGTCAAATATACAGAACCCAAACACACTTGAGCTCATGGATCACGTTCTTTCATCCTAAACACAGCAACACACAGTAAAGCCACTTCTTCTATCCCAGACATTCGCTTGTGCTTAGCTGATCTAGAATTACACTTTTGTTCTTTTCACACTCTTATAGATCACTGCACTAGAATGCAAACTCAAAAGCAAAATGATTCTCTTATATTTCAGAGCTGAGAAGCTAACGAAATAGAGCTAAATGAAATGGTTAGCTTTACATTACTTCATATTACGGATGATCAAATAGGCTATAAAATAAACCGTTCCAGGACTTTTGCATGCTACGGTTAAAGAACCAAGATCAATAGCTCAAACCAAGGCACTCAGGAACGTAATCTGTGTCTCATTAAAAGACCCTCCGGATCGATTTGGTAATTGGACTTCTAAAGCAAAAGATCTACTGTTTCTACTGAATCAGTGGCAGCTCTCAGAATGTTTCTAATGCAGTTTCAATGGTTCGATTAATTCAAATCGTTCATTCATCCCAGTTCTCCACAATACGTCTTACGCACACAACGTCAGCAGCACATTAACAACGAACTAAAACTCACAGCATCACCTTCAGACGGCAGCACAACATCAAACCAAACGTTATGCAAGAGCACAGTCATGAGACCTTATTGCATGGCCACGGCTCTGATAAAGACGCTAGAAGAGCGAGACTTCAGCAGTACTCCTCTGCTTGTGCAGACGGCAGGTCATTGAGGTCCAGGAAGACTGAACTGGCGGAGAGCTTGCGTCCAGAACGGGACAGGTCCAGAAACTCCTCGGCCGTGCTGGGGACGGAGCTGATGTACATGTCCCACACCTGGTCTGGAGAGTCCAGGTCCAGTAGCTTCTGCTTGATCTTCAGGTTCTTCTCAATGTTCCTCTGCTTGTGTTTGAACTCCAGAATAGTCTTAGTGTATCTGTTGATGGTGGTGACTGAGGAGGCCATGCAGGCGGTGAACGAGCTCCAGGCCAAGCTGGAGGAAACAACGTCAAGAGGGTTTCAAATCAGCATCGCTCTTTTAACTATAGTTATTAAACAATCAGGCATCATCAAGGACAGATGATGGACCTGCAAGACTCAAAAAACATGCATGTCGGAAGTACTAGGCACAGGATACACAAGCTGTTGCAAACAGTATGAATGACTTTATTTCTCATAATTATGACTTCTATCTCAAAATGTCCTTCTTGAAATTCCAATTTATTATATAGTAATGAATTAATAAAGTTCATATTATTACGGGTCTGCAGTATAAACATATTTGGTTTGTAGTTACTTGAATATTTGAAAAAGAAAAAGAAAAAGAAAATTATAAATACAAATGTATTAAAATATAAGCCTTATGTTATGTGTCTTATTTAACTTTACCAAGTATTGTGTACTTTTTTTTTTTAGATCAAGTTAATCAATTCTATTATTGTACTATGAACTATAAGACTTATATTACATATATTATATTATTATATTTTGAGCTCACATTCAAGCGTTTTTCATATCAGTTTTGCATTTGCAATGCATTGTTTCTAGTGCTTGAGCTGTTAAAAGTCTTAAGACAAGCATCCCTGAGCACATGGCATGAGTGAACGTACATATAAGACCAGCTGTAGTCCCAGTTCTTGTAGTTACTTGAATATTTGAAAAAGAAAAAGAAAAAGAAAATTATAAATACAAATGTATTAAAATATAAGCCTTATGTTATGTGTCTTATTTAACTTTACCAAGTATTGTGTACTTTTTTTTTTTAGATCAAGTTAATCAATTCTATTATTGTACTATGAACTATAAGACTTATATTACATATATTATATTATTATATTTTGAGCTCACATTCAAGCGTTTTTCATATCAGTTTTGCATTTGCAATGCATTGCTTCTAGTGCTTGAGCTGTTAAAAGTCTTAAGACAAGCATCCCTGAGCACATGGCGTGAGTGAACGTACATATAAGACCAGCTGTAGTCCCAGTTCTGTGGTTTCCAGTCCTCCAGGCCCAGACTGACGGTCAGCTGGAATGCTGTAGTGAACATCATGTGTGCTACCATCCCGAGAAGACCTGTGTCCGAGACCAGAGACAAACACTGTTACAGACTGACCTCTCTGTCACCAGCAGGAGGCAGTGCTGAACTACAGCTCAGCTGGACATCATAAAACACTAGCATTTCACATCTCTCTCTCTCTCTCTCACACACACACACACGCACACACACACACAAAGAAAAAAAAACTAGATAGAATAGAAAAAATAGAAAGCTAGTGTTTTTTTGTTTATCCTTCATTCTCACTTCTTTTGCCTCACATAACTAACGGTAAACATAAGTCTCCATTAGAAACGATACTACTTAATCATGAATAGCATTAGCCTATAGGTAAGCTATTTTTACATGTAAATAACATTCAGAAACTGTAATTGAATAAGGATCAATAAATACTGAAAGAAAAAAAAAACACATAAGAATAATTTAAAATAATTTGATATGCAGCTCAACACAGACCAGGTGCGCTGTAGATGGGTGTCGAAGAAGCGCTAAAAAAGAAACAAAGTAGTCCTTCATTCTCACTTCTTTTGCCTCACATAACTAACGGTAAACATAAGTCTCCATTAGAAATGATACTACTTAATCATGAATAGCATTAGCCTATAGGTAAGCTATTTTTACATGTAAATAACATTCAGAAACTGTAATTGAATAAGGATCAATAAATACTGAAAGAAAAAAAAAACACATAAGAATAATTTAAAATCATTTGATATGCAGCGCAACACAGACCAGGTGCGCTGTAGATGGGTGTCGAAGAAGCACTAAAAAAGAAACAAAGTAGGTTTATTCATATATTGTTCTCTCTCTTAATATGTACGTGAGTGTAAATGTCAGCAGCATCATATAAGTCTAAAGCATTGAAGGTTTTCAGGTGAAAGAAGAGCATATTGATGCAGTTCCCTCAGTCTGCTTTTTTATACTCCTGACCGGTCGCTTCCGTAAATATTTAGTTTATACTGTATATAGAGTTACACTTCAACTAAGTGTAATGGTGCAAATATTTAGTAGTGCTTAAGTTGTAACTTAGTGTCCATTTACGTCAAAACTAGGCTAAGTTGTAACTTGCGTACAGCTGGTGCAACCGGCCCCATCTTTCTGGTCCTCGAATCTGATTGGCTGAGAGCCTTTTCCAGCGGTGCAATATTCTAGTGATAACAGCACTCTGACTGTTACTGTTTCACCGTTTGTATCACTCCGCTTGCAGTGTTTCTCACAGTGAGCACAAATCCACTATACTTTTATTAATACTACAGTTTTTGTGTCACAGAATGTAGTTTTAAGAGTTTTTTAGGCGAGAATATACTTGTTTAGACTTCAAATATGTGGTTTGTTAATAAAGATAACGTCTTTGCTTGGATGTTTATCTGGATGTTTACAGTTCAGTCATCTTGTTTGAATGTAGTTTTCTATCAATATCAGTCAGATGAAATGTTAGGAAATCTTTCTGAATGAATGAATGAATGAATGAATGAATGAATGAATGAATGAATGAATGAATGAATGAATGAATGAATGAATGAATGAATGAATGAATGAATGAATGAATGAATGAATGAATGAATGAATGAATGAATGAATGAATGAATGAATGAATGAATGAATGAATGAATGAATGAATGAATGAATGAATGAGTGTCTGCAGCAGCACATGTCAGGTTTTCTGCCTAATGTTGTCATTATGTTGAAGTGAAGCATGCTCTGGCCAGATGGCAAACTGGACATAATCAACAGCGTCAGACCCGCCGTCTGGACAATCAAAGTCACCTCGCCAGAAATAGCAAGCACAGAGGTAAATTACACATTATTTACAGCTCACTAAGTCTGCATTCTGAGCCGCTGTGAATCCACTCAATAAAGCTGAGTCACAGAATCGAGTGGAAAAACAGCAACAGCAAGCTGAAAGAGACTCCCTACGAAAGGTGGTGTGTGTCTCTTATAATATCACGTCCATCTGAATCCTCACACGTGCCTGACGATAACCTCTCTCTCTCTCACACACACACACACACACTCTCTCTCTCTCTCTCTCTCACACACACACACACGCACACACACACACAAAGAAAAAAAAGAATAGAAAAATAGAAAAAATAGAAAGCTAGTGTTTTTTTGTTTATCCTTCATTCTCACTTCTTTTGCCTCACATAACTACATAAGTCTATAAGTCTCCATTAGAAATGATACTACTTAATCATGAATAGCATTAGCCTATAGGTAAGCTATTTTTACATGTAAATAACATTCAGAAACTGTAATTGAATAAGGATCAATAAATACTGAAAGAAAAAAAAAACACATAAGAATAATTTAAAATCATTTGATATGCAGCGCAACACAGACCAGGTGCGCTGTAGATGGGTGTCGAAGAAGCACTAAAAAAGAAACAAAGTAGGTTTATTCATATATTGTTCTCTCTCTTAATATGTACGTGAGTGTAAATGTCAGCAGCATCATATAAGTCTAAAGCATTGAAGGTTTTCAGGTGAAAGAAGAGCATATTGATGCAGTTCCCTCAGTCTGCTTTTTTATACTCCTGACCGGTCGCTTCCGTAAATATTTAGTTTATACTGTATATAGAGTTACACTTCAACTAAGTGTAATGGTGCAAATATTTAGTAGTGCTTAAGTTGTAACTTAGTGTCCATTTACGTCAAAACTAGGCTAAGTTGTAACTTGCGTACAGCTGGTGCAACCGGCCCCATCTTTCTGGTCCTCGAATCTGATTGGCTGAGAGCCTTTTCCAGCGGTGCAATATTCTAGTGATAACAGCACTCTGACTGTTACTGTTTCACCGTTTGTATCACTCCGCTTGCAGTGTTTCTCACAGTGAGCACAAATCCACTATACTTTTATTAATACTACAGTTTTTGTGTCACAGAATGTAGTTTTAAGAGTTTTTTAGGCGAGAATATACTTGTTTAGACTTCAAATATGTGGTTTGTTAATAAAGATAACGTCTTTGCTTGGATGTTTATCTGGATGTTTACAGTTCAGTCATCTTGTTTGAATGTAGTTTTCTATCAATATCAGTCAGATGAAATGTTAGGAAATCTTTGAATGAATGAGTGTCTGCAGCAGCACAGGTCAGGTTTTCTGCCTAATGTTGTCATTATGTTGAAGTGAAGCATGCTCTGGCCAGATGGCAAACTGGACATAATCAACAGCGTCAGACCCGCCGTCTGGACAATCAAAGTCACCTCGCCAGAAATAGCAAGCACAGAGGTAAATTACACATTATTTACAGCTCACTAAGTCTGCATTCTGAGCCGCTGTGAATCCACTCAATAAAGCTGAGTCACAGAATCGAGTGGAAAAACAGCAACAGCAAGCTGAAAGAGACTCCCTACGAAAGGTGGTGTGTGTCTCTTATAATATCACGTCCATCTGAATCCTCACACGTGCCTGACGATAACCCTCACGTCTCCATGACAACCGCAGCGATCCGCCTGTATGCAGACACCATCACAAACACACACACTAGTGAATAATAACAATAAAAAGCGCTTGTTAACCGCATTAATTCATGAATCAGCAGAATCCCGGACAGTGCAGCCCACGTTCATTACAGTAACCCTTCAGAAACATGATCACTTATTTTTATTGTTTATTCTGGATAACTAATACTGTGAGGCTTATATGGGATTTTGGGCCGGATGTTTTTGTATGTATCTCAGGGCTCTGATAGCACATAAATGCAAAGACATTCGCCACAAAGAAACAGGCAGAGGACAGCCAGCAGGTAGATAGACATCGACCAGTAATGCATCTCTATGAGGACAGCTGCTAGAGGGCTTTAATGCATTGCAGTAGCTAGCATAGAAAAGGGATATTTGCTTCACCTGTTTTTGATTTTTTTAATTGGTCAATCAAACACAATGCGTCTTGAATGTGGATCTATCAGATCGCTATTTTATACTTTCTACAATGGTATGCAATAAATAAATGAAATTTGTTCATGTTCAAGTTAATATGTAGTGATGTGCATTTTGGACACATTTTTTTATGGCAGAAATAGTAATATTATGCTGGTACATCGTTCCAAAATCAGCAAGTCACACACTTTATTTCAGAATCATTAGTAAATCAATGATCCACTTATTAAGGCAGTGATTTGTCGCCACCTACTGGTGGTTTTAGTTTCATATTTAAAGTAACATTTCATAGTTCTATATTCAGTATATTTATGCAATAATCTCTTAACATTATTTATGCAATTGTAACTGCGGTGTAAATGCATTCATTGCATCTCTGAGCTGCATTATACAGTCTGCGTAAATACATCTAAATATCAGCAAAGATGGCTTTTGTTAATATCAATTTAATTTAATTGTGATTTATAAAGCGGAGAGTTTAGAAGTTTAGAAAATTGGCCCTTATAAAGGTAAAAATGCCCCTTGAAAATCAGCTTAAGGAGGTAAATATAGTCCCTTAATCCTCAGTTTTGGTGTTATAGAAATGCAACACGTTACCTGACAGGACTGTGAATATGGCAGCAAAGGCATTCAGTTTCAGTCCTTCGATGACATTTCCAAAATGGCACACCTCGATGGACATGAGGATTCCTCCGGTGGCCAGCAGTAAGATATAGAGACACTCGGCCACGATGCAGAGCCACAAAACACCTGAGGATATGAGAGAGAGAAGAGATGCGTATCGAGGGAGTTTCTGACAGGCCCTGAGGAAATTATGAGACGATGCACTCGGGGAGCTGCTGAAATATTTATATACCAGAAACTTGACACTGAGATTTAAAAGGAGAACTCAGCTTTGAAAGCATGCGGATGCATCTACATATTTCATAGAGTTCGGAGGAAGTCTTCATGCTGTCACATGCACTTTAAGCGAGAGGATGATGACAATATTCACACAAATGCCAAAGTGTGGAAGATGTTGTCTAGTTTTATAGTTTCAGACTCGGTATAAATGAAAACAAGGCTGTGAGGGACAAAAGTTTTGTCCATTTTACTGAAAATAATGAAATACTTCAGAAAGGTGTTGTTTCTTCTGCTCAACAAGGCTGCATTTATTTGATCAAAAATACAGTAAAAATTGTGAAATAATTTTAGAATGTAAAATAGCTATTTTCTATGTGAATAATATTTTATATTTTGAATTTTACAGCATCATTCCTCCAGTCTTCAGCGTCACATGATCTTC